ACAATACTATGGCACCACGACACCCACTGCCGGCTATGGACCTCTCACCAATGCAGTTCGTCATCACTACCAACACCCCTATCACCAGCATCATCAACATCACGCCAACATTCCAGCTGATCCACCCACTGCCTCTCCAGCACCACCAGCAACGTTTCCACCCGAACCCCTGCCCCCACCCGCAGCATCTCACCACCCAACGCCTCCACAGCTTGGTGTGGTACCCCCCAACATCCCCAACCTACCTGACACATGGACTCCCAGCGACACACATTTAGATACGAATACCGTACACGGTCACACATTGTTTCGGACAATTCAGCCGACGCAATGGTCCAGGAAATACAACCTCGCAGGACAACAAGTCCTCGATATTTTTCCATGGCAGCTCAGCCGTTTTGGCCTCCAGGACCACAGCCTACGCATCCTGTCCCAAGGACGCTACACAGGCATTGTCACCACCAGATCTATCGCGGAGGCGGTCTTCACTTCACAATTGTTGCCGGAGATGAGGGCCCACAACCTGGACATCGACAACATCGCTGAATATTTGCACCAACAAGCAGATCAGTCCATTCCAAACAAAACCACAGAAGCCAAACAATTCATGCAACCACTTATTTCTCGCATCATTGACTTTCTACGAGGCCTTACACCACCAGCCGGCGAAGGCACAGCACTCCGAAAGCTCCAGCAACAGACAGATCGCTTACAACAACAAGAGAGCGAACTCCAGCGCGCTCGCGACAAGCTGAAGAATCATGGCATTGCACTCACACCAACCAAGCCAGGGTCACACCATGCCCCATCATCCGCCACCCACACACCGCATCTCCCACTCCCAGCCCCTACCGCCATCACAACCACCACCATTCTTAATCCCACCACACAAACACTCCATGACAACTCACCAGCCAACTATGCAGCAGCTGGCATTCAAAAATGGCTCAAGACATTACCACCAGCCACTCAGACACAAGTCACCAACATCCAGCAGATTCTTCGAGATGAACATATCACAAAAGAACAACTCCAAGAAGCAGCTACCCGCTACGGCATCCCGCTGGCTCGGGTCCTCAAGCTTCCCCCACGTTCACTACAGCAACTGGTGGCCGCGGGTTTGGCATTGGCAGCCTGACTCGTACAACAAGCGCTGCATCAACCAACACATCACACCCTACAATCTTTAACAACATTACACACAGCGCTATCACACTTTGTCCATTTCACCCCCTACATTGACAAGTCACACGCTATTTTTTCTGTCAGTCTTATTCACCTTACATGCCTCTTTGCCTTTCCTTCGCAAACACATCACTCTATACAATGGCGCTCCCGTTTCAACCAACTACAAGTTACACCACACACTTATCACTACCAAATGTTCACACATCCCAATGTGGTTTATGCCAAGCTCTTTTTCAACCAACATCACACAAGACACCAGTACCACCAACATGGACATACATACATCGGCTCTACCAGCATCACTATCCCCAAGCGAGAATACAATCGTCACGCAAAACTCAAACAATTACACAATAACCACCCAATTTCAGCTGAACTTTCTCTACGCTACTGGCACTCCAAGAACAACCTCCACCACTACAGCACTATTTACCTTTCCCATCACGACACCTATGATCAAGCATGGACCTACGAACACCTGCGGATCCAAGAATGGCAACCTACACTCAATTGGCCCTATATCCAACGACACCTCAAACTCAAAGCCTCAGGTTGGCAATTCTCAAAACACCGCACCACTTTCACACGGATGTCCACTCACAAACGTCTCTTCCAACGGCTCCGACGACGACAACACACCATTAAGCAACCCCACCTTCACACAAGTCAACGCCTACACGCCCTGACAGTTTTACGCGAGCTCAGCAAGCATACACTTTCATCTTTTCAAACATCAACAGCCATCCGCAGCGGCAAATACACTGATCTCGAAATTTACGCTTTCCGTCGAATGGCCGCCAGCTTAGAGGAACCAGATCGATCACGTGTTCTTCACCTTCTCCACTCAGCGCTCAGCTTTCGCAATCTCACTCCACCAAAAGCCAACAAACCCTTTACCATTCCTTTCCTCTCCCACAGTACCTTCTCGTCTTCCACGGAAAAATGGCTTCGCACACTGATCCAACACCACATGCATCACGTCATTCCCTTCCACCCCCCTACTACCAAACTACGCGAAGCAGCACACAAGACTTTGCGTTCCCGGCTCTACAACCACAAACGTTGGGAAGAACTCTTCTCCACACATCCCACAGCAGCTGACATGCCATGCAGCTGCCACCACATGCACACCTTGCTTCGTCCCAACCACACACCGCCGCTCTACGATGGTCACTACGTGCTTACACTTGAAGACCTACAGCTCCCCAGCCATCTTGAGCTATTCCTACAAGCCAACATGAACAGCACTTTCTTTCCCACAAAGACGCAATATTTCCAACACTTTGAACAACAACTCACTTACTGGCTACGACACCATGGTCTACCCACTGCCCTCCATCAACACAGCCTACCTTTTCTACACCAACAATGGAAACAGCACATCGACAATCTTCTATACACGCCCCGCTTTACATCCCGCAACGTTACACAGCTTCAACAGTTTCTTACAGACAAGCTGGTACTCCATCATGCTGACCATGAACTACAAAACCTACGACTCTTTTGCCCACAGCACTACTTCCACGGATGTCTCACCACATGGAATACACCACAACTTTTTCTCCCACTACCAGATCTCACAGCCCAACAACTCCACCAATTTCTCACACAATCCTTCCCAGCCAGCATCCGCAAAGCATACCCCTGGGGCTTCCGCACAAAATTCTACACACCACATGGAGTAGTTTTCCTCAAACAAAAGAAATCCTGGCGAAAGGGTAGAACAGTCATCAGCTATTTCAGATCCATCGCAGGCACATTATTACGAGCCACCTCCAAAGCATTAGACATTATGCTCCTTCATCTTCTACCACAACATCCAGGCCAATTATCTATACCCAACCTTTGGCAACACCTCCACAACCATTTCCAGACCACACCCGAAGACATCCACCTCACACCGATCAACGACGACCTTGTCGGCTTCTTCAACAGCGTACCTCAACAACGCCTTGTCGACGCAGTCATCAGCCTGTGCCACCGCTGGAAAACACAACACAACACCACTACCATCACCATCGATGTCCAGTCTACCGGCAATCCCATCCAACACTCACACATCGGTCGCCACTACATCCACCACCCACAGCAACGCACACTTGACACACAACACATTCCTCTTATCGTTCAACAAGCTCTTCACTCATGCATTTTCCAAGCTTGCAACACCTACTACAAACAAATTCAAGGAGCCGGCATTGGCAGTCAGCTCTCACCAGCACTTTGCAATGTGGCAATCACGCTCATCGAACACACTTGGCAAACCACATACCACAACTTCTTACACCAACCAAGCCTTCACTTGCTCAACACTCGCTACGTCGACAACCGATACATCTTGCTCAACGAACAATACAGATCAGCACTCCCCATCACTACATTGGCCCATCCTGAATTTTATGAACAACCAGTTGAAATAGAGCCAGTGGACGACGACCATCTACTCGGTTTCTTGATTGACCCTCTCAACAGAACCGTCACCTTCCAACTCCCCACCCATTCCTGGCAGATTCGTGATCCGCAGTCAGCAGGGAGTCACAGACTACGTCTTTCAGGCTTACAATCACGCCACCACACACTACAAAAATACACTTACCCAAAACATCTTGCCCACACGACAGCACAGAAGTTGATGCAGCTATATATGGCCAAAGGCCATTCACCAGCACACTGCGCCGCGGCGCTGCGGCCAAGAGGAAAAAGACTATGTGCCGGCACTTTCGCAGACTGCTGTGATATGTATTTTACAGTATTGAACCTTTCAATGTCAAGCACTTCCACTATTTATTATCCAGGCCCTACCTGATCCGATCTAGTTGCGCCGATACGGCTCAGTGTGTGTGTCCACTCCTGTTTCCAAGGACACTACTCTAGTTTTTCTAATCTACCCTACCAGCTTTTCTGTACAGAAGCAGGGGGACAACCCCATGGATGCAGTTGGTTGTCCAACGAAGAGGGCTGCATTCCATGGCTGATATGATCCTGGGACGCTAGGATCACGTACCTGCAATTTTAATACTAATTTTGATTTTCAATCGCTGAGATTTCTAAGTCAGTGCAACGCCGTCTCATACGTTGTTTCCTGCAGTATCTAGATTTAAAGGGCTAATGCACACCGCGAAGCTACCTGAAATCACGCTCCACGGAGCAACCTTCTCAAGTGTGGGATGTTGTGTGAGTGATGTTGTGTGTGAGATGTTGTTGTGAGTTGGAGATGTTGTGTGAGTGATGTTGTGTGCGAGGTGTTGTGTGTGGGATGTTGTGTGAGTGATGTTGTGTGTGAGATGTCGTTGTGAGAGATGTTGTGTGAGTGATGTTGTGTGCGAGATGTTGTGTGTGGGATGTTGTGTGAGTGATGTTGTGTGTGAGATGTTGTTGTGAGAGATGTTGTGTGAGAGATGTTGTGTGAGAGATGTTGTGTGAGTGATGTTGTGTGAGAGATGATTTGTGTGAGAGAGGAGGAGGAAGGAGGAAGGCGGAGGAGCGAGGAGGTGCAGCAAAAAAACAAGAACCCCACACGGCAATGTGGGGAATTAGCGCAACCCCGATCCAAAAACATATTCCTAGGAGATGAGATTCCCGCTGGATTTACTTTGTAAGACACTACGCATTAAAAAAGATCGTCTGCAGTCTGCTGCCCCAGGTCTGGTGCCCAACTCATTCCTGCAGGCCTAAACAAACGCTCCAAGGCCAACCCATAAAGGATCCAATCAAAAACATCAGAAACCAATCAAAAACGACCTGGGCAACCTGATCGTGACGACGAATATTGTGACAACGGCCGCTGTCCGTGGCAACCTGTGCGACCCTGCTCGTGGCAGCGGCGCTCTTGCGTCTCTTGGAGACGGGCCTCAATCGCGCGCGGTCCCTCCGACATGTTCAGTTGGAGTGATGTCAACTGTCAGAATGCTGGGTCATAAGGTCATGCTCATGTATACCAAATGGGAACCACTGCGGAACCACATGAAATACCGCCAATCCCAAACACTTAGGACTTCATGTATGGCATATTTACTTGCATTCAACCCTGAAACCACCCCAATGTACTGTATGTAAAATTATGTAAATATATGCCATACATGGAGTGTTTGGGAATTGTACAGAGCTAGGGCCTACTAGGGTGTGCTGAAACAAGCATACGAACGAGCGCTTCGTGGTCAACGAGGTTGGTTTCCCATGGTTTGTGGTGATGGCTCCCAAAGCTTATGGCAGGAGCACGTCTTGCCTGCACTCTGTTCAGAGCTGACCAAACAATCACATAGTGACTTCACGGCCCTGCCATTGGTGCTTGGACCTTCATTGTTCACCATGGCAGGGAAGAACAGGATCATATGTTTCCATTTGGGAAAGAACTTTCTTTCTGCTACAAACTTCTCTTGGGATTGGGCAAACAACAAATGCTGTGAAGATCTGTGAAGGCTTCCATCCATCAAATATGCTCAAAAATAGGCCTCCGGCTTTGAATGCGACCAGAACACTCCAGGATAAACACGAAGAAAGAACATGCTGCAACATGCCTAAATTAGCCATCTAGGCTTGTGGTTTTGCCATCGTTGCGCCCCGCCTTTGCAACAAGGGCAGGAGCTCCTGATGATTCCTGGCTTGCGCGATGCTGAAGGGGCTCCTGCGGGTCGACTGCGAGGCATTCCGACGAACTGGCTGGAGTCAAACCAGGGTTTGGGGTGCATGATAGATGTCGCCCACTCTTGGGCAGTAGCAATGCCTGGTAACATAGTATTTATATGTATTTGATACAACATATACAGAGTATCACCTGGAATTCTGTCTGGCAAATCAGCAAATGCATCAAAACTCAAGACCCCAATCCAGCCTGCCAGAAGGAGCTTTGCTGGGCACGGCCTTGGCCTGGCATTGAAAAAGACTTGGCCCAAACCCGAAGGCGAGTTCTTGGGAGATGTCATTGCCACAGCGCTGTGGAGCAAACATGACAATGACCGGCGCGCGCGATGCAAAACAACATGCCCACCTTAAGAAGCTGTTGGCAAAGAGGGAGGTGACCCCTGTCTGCCACGTAGAACAACGGCGTTTGCTGCAGCTGGTCTTCATGATTCACCTGGTGTGAAAACGTGCAGGGCTGGTGCTGGTTCAGCCTAGATGATCACAAAGGAACCCTCGAATATCCCAGTATCCTTCTCAGCCTTACGAAATGAACGAGTAGTCCGTACCAGTACATCTCCCTACCATTTAGGTGGCATCTAATAATATATTTCATTCTGAGTCATTCTTGTTCACTGTTTGTGTGTTTGCAAAAGAGAACACAAACATAACATGTAGGATCCTAAATGCCTATAGCTCTAGGGGTTTGCATCTTCCCTGCGCTCGAGTGAGCCTAGCATGGACGCAAAGTTTGGCAAATCACCGAAGCACTGCCAAAGCACCCAGCCCAAAACCATCTTTGAGGAAAATGGTCTCGTGGCACAAAGGACTTCTTTGCCTTGATGAAGTTATACCGACAAATATGTGAATGCTTCACACGACATGATGCGATTGAGACTCACAATCCTGAACCATCTCAAAATTACCAAGCTTACTGAACTGTTACAAACAGGCCAACACAACAATCACTTGAGGTCTTGATTCACTTCAAAAAGTCACCCGGTACCCATGTAAACAACAAAAGAACAACGAAGAGATCTCGCTCCCTGTTGTCTAGCGTCCTTGCTACTAGGCGATGCACTGTGTTACATTACTAGTAGGAGCGATGCTCTTGTTTCTAATAGCTTCTTGTTACTACTAGTAAGGCACTTGCTCCTAGTAGCGATGCCCTTTGCTCCTAGTAGCGTCCTTGTTCCTAGTAGTAAGGCCAGGAGCCCCTAGTAGCGTCCTTGTCGGCTGGTCTCGGCACCTCGGCACCATGTGTGATCAGGATGGATGTCTTCGCCTGGCGAAGAAACACCGGACCCTCGGTCGATGGCGGTGGTGGAAACTGGGCTGGTCCAAAAGCGGGACACGTGGCATTTGACGGGGTTGTTTGCCTGGGTGGTTTGAGGCATTTTGTCTGGGGTACTTGAACACTCAGGAGTCGAGCTATTTTGAGTGTTCAAGCAGCTAAGCAGCCCGGCCTCCAAGGCTTCCGAGTGCCCCTAATCATCGTGCTTTTTGGGGTGCTGAGGTATAGGAATGCATCGGCAACTCATCGGAGGTACATCGATTGACATCGCACAGGTCCTCGTCGGCGGTCGGGCCGGTCGTAGTTGGTGATGTGTTGGTTGGGGTGCTGGTTTTTGACATTCCCAATCCCTCAAACACACCATAATTCCGGAAAAATTAACCATTGAACCTGAAAGTGGACCTTTGGAAGACTATTCTACAAACCCGTGGTTTTCAGGTTCCATGATAATTTTCCTGGGTGTAACGCTTTGGACCAGTGTGATGCAAGCTTTTCCGGTAAATTCGTTCGCCATTCGTTCGCCCCGTGTCTGACAGTGCCAGTCGAAGGATAAGAACGAATGGAAAGAAATTGTTTGACAGCTGTTTCTTCTGCTCGACGCGAACAACCCATACAAGGTTGCTTTGTTTTAAGCGGCCTGGAGAGGTTCCTAGGTCCTATACCATTGATCGTCTCGTCTGCTTGCGTCTGCTTGTCTGTCCCTGTACAACGGGAGCATCACACTCACCCCAAACGTGTCATCTGAGACGAACCACGCGTTCCGAACATTTGGGTCTCTCACTTTGACATCTTCTGACATCTTCTGACCAAAACCCCTTGGTCCAAAGAGCTTTTATCGTGAACAACCCGGTGAACACCACCAGGTCTTGCCCTCATTTTTGCCTCCCTCCAAGCTTGGATGAATGATCAGTGACATGGAACATAGATCATCTCCAAGACCGTTCTCAGAAAGAAAATATCCTTCAAACGAAGTAGTCCGAAGGTGAAGGAGCGAGGTGGCTCAAGATTAAATCAACCCAGATACCCAGATTCATGAAGACAATATGAAGACCTGGCATGACCTGGCTGTCAAAAGACACCAATGCCGCCTCATCTGATCGCATCAAGGCTTCCAGGAGCGGTGTGTGGAGGTTCGCATCACAGGAGTCCACCTCGCACGGCGAGAACAGCTGCAGCATGATGATGCTGAACATACACAACCCAACAGTCGCTAAGAATCCATATTTGCCCAGAATCCATCCGTCTCACTTCTGAGTAAGCTCTGAAGGCATTCTGTCAAAGAAAAACCGTCCAAAACCGTCGTGCCCGAAGGCTCTCCTGTCACATCACCATTCCACCTCAGGTGATCCAACCCGATTCGGCTGGCTCGCCACCCAGCCGAACAGCGAAGCAGATCCGCTCGCAAGTATTCAAGGTATATGCATTGGGTATATCCCACCAGGGACGAGTGGATGATTAGGTTGCAGGCCAACATCTCAAAACTAGTGATTGTCCAAGTTTACTCTAGGTATGCAGCTCAACCGATCCAAGGACCCCTGGTCTAAGGGGCCCTAAAAAGGCCAAGGAAGACTTGACTCACATCCCAAGCGGTTTAAACATGCTCACGAACCTGCCCAGCAGCCCTGGACAGTTTGGACGAAAGCATCGCTATGTTGGAATCTCTTCCGAAGTCCCAACAATGTTGTTTGTGAATGTGACCGGAGGGAAGTTCCTCGACAGGTCACCAATGATTCGTTTAATCTCACGCTCCAAGATCGATGGTTGCTGACAAGTTTGTTGCCCAGTAAAGCACCCGAGCTACGGTCAAAACCGTGTCACATAGGGCCCAAACCGACGCAAGGATCCTCTTACTGGATCCTCCGTTCGATCACTACAAGTACCGTGTTTCCATATGTTTGCTGTCGAAAAAAACCAGAAGCTTAGGGTCCCAAAATGGCCAATCGCCCGGAGGGGGTGCTGCTTCGTTCGCGCTTTGGGCCTACCAAACGGACAGCTTTCAACGGACGTCAGGGAAACAGACCGTGAAGGTCGAAGACCGGAGCAAATGCTTTCGCCTAAGGGTTCACCTTAAACAACCTTAGTGTTTGCTTTCTTATCGGACCTTGAACTGGAAATGCCGTGGAACACTGACACTTTGGCCCTTTGACAAGGTTTGGCCATCATGGTCCAGTATGGATTCCCTGCCCTCCCCGCCTCTGCACCATGCTGCAAGAGCTCTTCAGCGCACTCTGCAGAGGCGCCTTCACAAATATTCTGTGAAATTGGATGGTAGAGCGTGAGGTAGGACCAACTTCTTGTTTTTGAGGTCAAGGCCTGCCTGCAGGTCTAAACCCCTTCTGAACCTAACATATTTATGAAGTCTATCAGTCTATCAGTCTCGCCTTCAATCGAAAACGATTACCATCTCGATTCTTGCTCTTCTGGTTCCGGGTGTTGGCCAATTGTGCTTCTTGCAATTCAGATTTGATGAAGCCAAACTTTTTAGGCTTCGTCGGGCAAGTCGGACTTCCAAATGCTATATAGAGAAGGTGGGACTCGGTGGGACCAGTTCACCAAATAACGTAAAACATCAGAATGATGAAACTATCCAAAAATCTGGGATACCGCACAAAGCTCTGCCAATAATAGGAGCACCCCGGCTCCCACTTTAGTCAACAGTCAAGCACATAAACCAAATGGGAGATTTTGATGGTTCTCTCGATTCTGCTTCATCAAAGAGTTCATCCGTGTGTTTCACTGTCCCTTTCTAACTAATGATTCTGTTGCACAGGACAGAACATAATACGTCAACAACCAAGTACTTGCTGCCACGAACGAACCCAAACCAGCGCATTTTAGCCAACAACCAACTCACTTCAACTGCTTCGCCCTCGCACCTGGCCCTCGCGCCCACCAGAGCGGCTGCCGGCCGTCCACATCCGGCGCCGAGACATCCGCACCCGCCTTGGCTGAAAAATGCGTTGACATCAAAGAGTTTCAAGAAGGAATAGGAATTCACTCCTCAATTGCTTGGAGGATGCTTTTGGATAGTATTTCGGAGAGTGTTTTCAGGTTACTTTGAGGATGCTTTGAAGGGTTTTGGGGACCCAGGTCCTGCGGCATCAAAGTCCCAAGAGGTCACGCCACATGCTGACACCCGAAAGACGAAATGGCGCACCAGCTGCGCACCCCGTTTCTTCGAAAACAGCACCGGTCCTTGAAGAAAATGGTTACAGTATCCAAAACAATGAGGACATGTTTGGTGTTCTTCAAGGTTTTAATTTGCAATAAACACGTTTTTGTCCTGGTGTCAACTCTCGAACCAGCACCACCACCACCACCGCCACCACCACCAACAACAACAAGAGTTGTAACCCCCCCCACGGCCTTGATCAGCAGCTTCAAACACTCCAGCTGTCCTGCCAAGGGAAAAGACTTCGTCCGGGGCCTACCTTTCGTCCGAATCCCGGTCGCCGTGGTCTCGCCCATGTCTCGCCGGAGATCCCGGGGTCGACTCTCGAATCTGCTCGGGCTACGCTTCACGCCCACGACGTGTCACGTGTCACGGACCTGGCGAATCTGACCGACATTCTGCGACATCCAATCGTGGAGGTTTTTGGGAAAACTGTTAAATTCCCGCTGGTGTTTTTAATATCTAAAATCATCTCAAAAACACCGTAGGAAGAAAGCTTTAATGCCTGTGTTGGGTGCAAAGTGGCCTGCACAATGCTAATCCTATCTAATCCTAATCATCAAATCAACCAGTACTGAATTCCATTCCATCCCAATCGAAACATTTAATTGGATGGTGTGGCTTACATCTGCTCACAGCATCCCTCAATCTAGTACAGTGTTCGATGTTGAATAGCAAAATCCCTGCCCACCAAAACTATTTGGGAAACAGTTCAGTAGTAGTAGTAGCAGCAGTAGTAGCAGTAGTAGTAGTAGTCGTCAAATCGAATCAAACCTCAAAAAGAACACTCTGGGAAAACAAATATTCCCACCCACTAAACATCACTAAACTTTTCAATGTGTAGGAATACATGTGCGATTTTTTTACATTATTATATAATATTTTATAATATTATTTACTATTCCTTTCCATTTGATGAATTGGGATTCGACATTAATAATGCAGGGAATCTGTTTTTCATCCAAAGAGTCCAAAAAACACCTGCAGTAGCAGCAGCAAAAGATTACAAACCTTAAGCAGTCTCAGGGCTATTTCTGAAACACTTCCTCCACATTGCAACACCGTCCTCGAATGATTTCTTTTGCCGTGCCCGGCCTGCGACCGCGCACCAGTGGAGCGGCCTTCGGCCCTGCTGGTCCTGTGCCGAGGTTCCCAAGGCCGATTGGCGCTCGGCTTAGGTCAGGGCCCAGGAATGTCCAAAAGGTTGGGAGAATGTTCAGAGATGTTGAGATGGTGAGAAAGTTATTCTTTGCATAACATTTGTTTAAGCATGTTTGACATGTTCATGTTTCAAACTAACACAGACTTGGGAGATGTTGGGAGTCTAGAGTCTAGCGCTGCAAAGGAAATAAAGACCCATGGCCCATGGTGCAACTTCGACGGAGGTCAAAGGCGTTGAACACGGACGACTACTGAGTCTCTCCAAGCATGGACTCAAGTGGATGATGCCCATGCGTTGGAAACTCCACATCGTTCAATCTGGTGTGTCCACATCAAAGAAGAGGTTTGACATGGTTTCTCAAAAACCCAAGACACAAATCACGTGACTCTGAGCCAAAACATACGGTACATTAAATGGACTTCATTGGAATTTAACAAAAACATCACCGTTGCTGCAGACTACTGATGTTCACCCCCTCATCTTATTCACAAATTTGTTATATATATAAAGTTACTTTCACATATGTTCACACACCAACGGCCTTTATAACTCAAAGTCGAAAAGAAAACCACTTTCTGTCGTGACTGGCTAGTTTGACTGTGCAAACTCCGTGTCATCCATTTTATTGAAGACCTAAATTTAGATATGAGTCAAATAAAATGGGTTTTCCATGGTCGACCACACTCATTCCTGGAACTTCCTCAGAGTTTTTGTTTTTATCTGCGGCGTGAAAAACATCTTTTGGAGTCACAGCCTTATATTTGAGTCTGCGGATGTTTCTCTAGTTTCTGATGTTTTTCTGATATTCCACGGGTGTTTATACACAAGCTAAGGGCGTTTATCGGTGGCCAAAGACCAGGCACTTTTTCCAAAAACATGTTTGTTTGTTGATTGCCTAGTTCAGTTGCGGCTGTTTATGTGGTTCACAGACCTATATAAATAATGGTATATGTTGAACCACCGAACAAAAAATCAACCACAATGGTTGCAGGTCTTAGATAGCCGGTAGCAGCGGGGATGCAAAAACGGTTTCTTTCCTTCCAAAGCAGTCATCCGAATCCGAATGCACATCCTTCACCCATTCCATCACACTCCACGTGGCTCATGACGAGGGTCCAAAAATTCAAAGGATTCACCACTGTCACATGGAACTCAGACCAGTACTCCGGCCTGAGAGTTCACTTGGGCAGCAGCCTTGATCAGCACCTCACAACATGAAGTAAAGCCTGCCTCCGCAGACAGCGACAGAGGCGTCCTGGTGATTTCAGCGAGGCACGCGAGGCAGATGCTTGCACACGAAAGAACAAACGTTCCTAAGATCAAACGTTCCTAAGTTGGACTTACCTAGCCAAAATTGGGGGTGATTTAAGAAAGGATCTAACACATTGCATGTTCAAACCAAGTTTTTTAATGTTCAAACATGTTCAAACCAGTTTGGTTGTCTTAAGTTGCTAAAGCTAAGAATGATTTGTTCATGTTTTGTTGTTGTTTTTTGAAACAATGCTCTTTGAGGTCATCCTCCATCAACTGCGACCAAACCCCACGAACCGACCGAAGGTTACAAAACCCGACAGGAACAATATTGTCTAGGAATGCAAAAACGGATAAAAACGGCAGGTACGCGCTGCAGGCTGGTGGGATAGGTTGGCCTAAAGTCAACTTTGGGATTTAAGCGGAAAACAACATTGATTTGAAAGGTCATATCCCGAAGAAGGATACACAATTTTCGAAACACGCACGTCCGCAGTTGTTTCCAACCCTTACATTCACTTTGGGGTCGTCGTTAGCCTCTGTGCCAGAAGTGAAATTATCGATGTAGCTACAGTATAGCACTGTGAAGGTGCTATAGGTGGTTAGATTGCTAAGTTCTGGTCAACTCGGCGTCGACAATGATTTCAGGCACTTTGTCTTGACATCCCTGCAACCAGCTTGCATTCTATCTGGCATATACCCGAGCATTCTATCTGGAATACATTCTGGAACTCTCGTTAGTATATTCTATCTAGCATTTGCTGGCATTCTATTTGGTATACATGCTGGCACTCTATCTGGCAAAATATTCGGACATTCTTTCTTGCAAACATTCTGACATTCTATCTGGCATAGATTCTGACGTCCTGTTCTTGCACACAATCTGACAAATAAATATCATTGGCATCCTACCCAGATAATTTTCTGACATGCTATTTTCTGCGACTGACGTCCGGCAGTGCCCAGTGCGATTGGAAGCCTGCGCTTGAGGTTCGGCAGTGTCCACTGATATCAGGAGGCTTGCGGTTGAGGTCCGGCAGTTTATGGCAGCACGAGAAGAGGAGGAAGGAGGAGCGGCGGAGTGCTCTTACACATGTCTAATATAACAACCCTCGCCTGGGCAGGTGGGGAACAACCGAGAACAACTTAATAATCCAATCTTTTCCCCATGCTTTCACCGAAATTGCTACCAATTTGGGACAGCACCCCTCCCTCCCTTGGACCATCACCTCCCTACCGATGTTCGTCGCTCCCACCCCTCCTGCCGTTCAGGTCCCGTATCTCCACCGTGGCCCGAGACTTGAGGAGCTCCACGAGGGCGCCCTTGGCCCCTCGGAGCTTTGGGGGGGAGAGACAGGGAGAGACCTGGAGAGACGGTCTCAAAAGGATGCTCCACCTGCCCAACCCCCTCCACCTCAATGCACAGAAGTCATGCGAATCGTGTGGGGGAGATGACCCCCGTTCTTGGGTGGCACAAGTGGCGCCTTTGGCCGCTTGGCAATCCGGGCAATCCTATCTTCCCAGCAGAGCAATGCAAAAACCACCAAATCAAAGGTCTCTTGAAGGGGGCAAGTTGGAGCTGCCAGGCAAGGTCAAATTGAATCGTTGGTCCATTGCTGAATGTATACGAGTGCTGCTTGGGCCCTAGACATCTGCGAAAACTGGAGGCTCCCAAGATCTAGTCTCTCAGGTTGACTTGAGAAATCTTGCTCACCTAGTGCACCAAATATCAACTTCACATATTCTGTCTTAAGATCACTTGAGACCTGAAAACTCTCTGCAAGCCCATGATAAGGAATGATCTTGGAACCAGTCGTATAGGCACCGTATAGGTCTTGCTTAGACCCCTTCCGCAAGCGGAAAAACGCCCGCCGAACCGCCGGACTGCGCGGAACCCGCTGGGGTGGCCGCACCATGCCACGCGGCATAGTGGAGGGGCGTGCGTTGCAGCTCGCCGTAGGGACTGTCACAAAACCTGGGCGGCTTCGTAGCAAGAAGCTACGCACGGTGAGGAGGCCCTCGCTATTTAGGTTGGAGGCCCTCGCTACAAGAAGCTACGCACGTGGCTCCTGCTCGGCGATGGTCTTTTTCGCCGCGGTCACTCCAAAGGTCTTTTTCGTCGGCCGAGCGTCTTCACACACTTCACAGACTGAGGCAGCAGAATGGCTGATCGATGTCCAAACGGTGCTATTTAACAACTCTCCGGCCAAGGCATGAACACAGTTACTTGCACCGATGTTCGGTACAGCCTGAGGCTCCAGAAGGATGATCCAGTTGAATATAAGGTTTATATACCTACTACCAGGACGATCTAAGGGATGACGATGAAACGATGGCCAAAAGACATCAAAAGACGAGCGAAACGATTCAGAAGGTCTTTGTTTGGAGGGTTTGACTACTGTACACAACTTACACAACACATGCTTGGAGCCATAGGGATGACCATGAACCACCCGACCCTGTTACTTGTTTGACTTCAGTTTTCCCGCTTGTGGCAGCTGGGTGTCCAGGCACTGCCTTGGTCGAGTAGGTTAAGACCGTGCTGCAGAAAAGGCCCTCGAGCCGAACAATAGAATCGCGACCGCTATCACGAGAATGATGTGTTTGATGGACATGCTCCACCGGATGCAACTGGCCCATTGAATACGAATCCGACTATTTCACATGTGTATGTTTGGAGAAGTCTTGTTGGTCAAAATGATGCTTCTTCCGATTGCCATATACACTTTCTGTAGAGCTCAATGTCCTGACTCACACAAAAATTTCATCCGGGCGATGATATATTTGGATACGTCTCCGTCTCGCACGCCTTTGGGTCCCGCAGAATGCTGTGGCAAAGCAGCTGTGCAACGAACTCCTAGCGCTTATCATTAGCCATCCACTGGAGGTTGAAAAGAAACAGTTGACATATTCAAAAGCTTGGTGAAACAAAAAACCATGATGAATCGCATACTATAGTTAATTTGGGGATCCAGAGTTGTCATCCACGGCATGAGCGACCCTTGTTCAGAACAAACGCAAAGGACATTAAATGGATCTGTTTGGGACTTTAAGAGGTATAATAGATTATATATTATATATATTATATATATATTATACACATACATAAACATAATCAACAAATTAGAAAAAAAGAGTCTAAGTCCGCACTGATGCGGGTCATCGCAGTGTCGTGAGTAATGTGGTAGTCCTTGGCGCGCTGTTCAGAAGCTGTACTGATCGTAGCCATATATCTGAATAACATTTGCGGATTCTTTAGGGACCCTGTTTGGCCACCACGTTCTTGTCCGAGCTTCTGTGGTCAAAGCTTCCACTTTGGAACACTTGGATCAATTGTTTCTCGGAGCAAAGAAGCCGCTGCTCCGTCATTTCGCTTCCCTCCGTCCGACTCTGTCCTGGTCGATCTGATCGCGGTGCTTCAACAGCTCACTTTGCACCATCCAGATCGGATCACATCCTCGGCGGCACAGGGCACCAGGGCACGGCACATGCCCGTGCAGCGGGGTCTGGGAAGCGAGATCTCACGATGCGGCGAAAACATGCAGCCCTGTCATGCCAGGGCATCCTTATCAAAACTTTTGTCTTCCAATCCTCCTTCACACAAGTTGAGCCCCCAAATAGTTTAATGTAATTTGGGGGTGGTGACTTTGTGTTGTGCCGCTCGTTCTTTCGGATGGGGTTGTTGGCATTTCCTACATGGTGTCCACATCAAAGCTTATGATTGAGAATCTTGTGTAACTCCTTCAAACGAGTTTGCAAATTCCGGACAATGTTAATTCATCCAAAACTCTTGGATCTCAACAAGCATGTATCTCTTTGGCGAGTTCTATTGGACCCGGACACCATCTGCCCAGCGGATGGCTACCATAGGTATCTCTCCGGTGCAAAGTAGCATTTATATGTATATATATATATTTGTAAATGCTTTCCTTCTGGCACAGAATTCGGGAGCACAAACCTTTGGAATCCTCAATGGAAGATCTACTCAATTCTCTCAGTTCCGCTGTGGTCCCATGCGTTTTGGGTTTCAGAGGCTGTTAAACAAAAACCACATTGGGATCGAACGACATGTTCAGGAATTCTCATGGTTTGACCCATGCTCTTGCCCATGTCCTACCCAAAAAAGAACAAAACGCAAATCCAAGGATCTGATGGAGAGACAAAGCAGCTGACCTGGGCTCGTCTCTCGTCTGATCTTTGAGTCTATATATCTCTTGCGTTTCCTTTCTAAAAAAATGCAACACGTCTGCACTGTCAAGTTCAACTGAACCCGATGTCTTCATTCAACAGCAACTGCTTCGTTTCGTACTTTGGTTGACCGACGAAGCCGCCCTCTCCCAGGTCTGGACACGGAACTGAGCACCACGGCGAATGGTGCTCTTGTCCATGAACCCGGACGAGTCCGGCTGCGAATTCTCCCGCGAATTCTCCGGCGCCCGGACCGGCAGCCCTTGATCCAGAACTGCCCAGCGACGGCTCTTGGGGTTTGGCCCAACGAAAAGAAGAAACGTCCCGAACCGATCCTGCGCACTGTGTACGTCACTGGCCACAAACCCAGAGATGGGACTCTGAGAAGACCACTGCTTCGAGGAACAGTGGGGTCCTGGTTCTGTACGTCACTGGCCACAAATGACACAGTCCGAAAGGGAAAACGCTGGCTTTTGTGGCCACTTTAGGCCAGGGTAGTTCAACTACGGTAGTCGTTTTGTGCGCTTGAAGAGATAATCATGTTCTTCAAAATGTTGATTGGGATCAGCCTCTGTTCAGATGATACGTACAAACCCCTCAATTAGGGTGGTAAAATGTCAATGGACCTTCCTCTAGTCTATAAGCAAATGTCTGCTCCACAACATATTCCCCAACATAATGGTGTGTCTCAAATTATTGGGAGACGAACCATAAGGATATAATGAGGATCGATTAAGTTTCTGGGGCCTGCGCCGATCGCCTCTGGTCTACTGATTCTCAAAGATGGACTCTGAAATACTCTGAAGCTTTTCTGGTAAATTCCGCCAACCAATTGAACCACTTGTACAGTTTGCTCCTGTATGGCGAAGTGAACATAACCCTACAACCGGTGTCTCTACATCGTTTAATCTTTCTATATTAGATGGATCCATCCCCTAGCTATCTTTGAGCTCTGCAGCTTGGTCGCGTCCGTTGTTCTTTGAGGGTCCAGAAGCGTCCGGGAAGTAAATTGGCTCGATCAAGTCAGGCAGTGCCATCCACAGCCCGCAGCCCGCCTTTGGCTACTCTGACCTGAGGATTCCCGATCATGAGAGGATGTTGGAACCAGTTCTATGTTCCCGTTTCCTGTGGCGCTCAAGCGCAATATGTTGTTTTTGTTCTTTTAAAATTGTGTTTCTTTCGCGGGAGGGGCAAGCCAATTTCTAGTTATTCTAGTTCCTACCTGAACAATATGAAGATTACATTACCAAAAATGAAAAGCTAGGATGCAAGTGTCGATGTTTATGGTTGATATTCATACTACAATGCACCCAAAGGCTTTTCGGCGAGTTTGTGTGCAAACAATTTACCATCTGGGTTTCTTTAAAGCATTAGGCAAGGAAGAAATGAAAGAGGTAATGACCAGTGATATATCATGTCCTTATTCACTTTGAAGATTCTTTGCTAAATGAGTATCGAAGGGTTCTCCCACTCAACATCGCCGAAACCCATGGAAGCCTGCTATCGACTGAAGGATGTCAATGGCGATACCTTGGAAAAACTGGAGCACGTCTATGGACATCCATTCATGTGCTTCTTGGTTTTCAACGTTCTCTGTCTTTTTTGCCGTGCCATCTTTGCCGATTCTCTTCCTCGCTATGACCTACCAGTATATACAATGGTTTCAGAGTAGATGCCGCAAACCCCAAGATGTTTTTGAGATGGGGGTCCACATAAACCACCTTTTGGGGTTTGTGTCATCCACTCTGAAACCATTGTAACAGAAGGGATCAGAAGAGATCCTCTGTATGGCTCGCTCCGCCGTCCACCGCCACCAGGGATCTCGCCTTCGCCGTCCACCGCCTCGCTGCCAACCATGACAACGAAGCGTTGGGAGGTGTTCCCGGGCAGCTCTCACTCCGCAGCTGTACGTATCGATAACATATAGATGAAAGTAATATATAATGTAATTATATACATAAAGCTAGCCACCCCCAAAGATCTACCAGTTTGCAAGCTGCAGCAATGCTGCATGCATGTCTAACTCAGTAAATGTATACTGTATATATACACGTTTATGCTAGACTCCTTGTCATGCATAGGAGAGTTGGGGATCATCCTCCTTCTTAATCCTCAAATGGTCAAACCCAAATGTTATTGAGGCCAGCGTTGTGAGCGTGTGTATGTTCTACAAACATCTTATATGTTTAACTGGATGTGCCAGGAAGGCAACAAACTCAAAACAAAAACCGGGCCTCGGCCTCAGCATTCATAAAATAAGACGGCATTGAAATGTTTGAGCAAAGATACAACTTTTTTGTAAATGTACATAAAGGTGCCTTTCAAAGGACATTCTGAACGCATGCGGGAAAGGACAAACACGTTTCAGAATGCTGAAATCCTTATTTTGAGAGTGACAGACTTTCCAATGGACGGCGACTCTCAAAGAGGAGTGGTGGGCCATGTCAATTGCTTTGTTCATGTTGCGTCTGCCAAAAAATGGTAATGGGATGATTCTATAGAGGAGGGATTTAAATATGCATACATATTCCAGTCAACAACATGGAACAGTTTATTTGCATAGGAGAACGACTGATATATAACAAATTCAACCTGCACAAATGACATGTGAAAGAATTTCCTGAAACACAAAAACAAACTAACATATATAGTAATATATTATGCACAGAAAACTTGTCCCCCGCTCTTGGATTAGGAAGGCAAACCAAAGGTATCAAAAAATACAAAAGACCTAGGGGAAATGTTTGGGGACGGTGGCATGGCAGAAATACAAAAGATCTATATAAGGAAAATGTTTGGAGGTAGGGGCATAATACTGAAAATACCAATCCTGCAGTAGAAAGAGTAGCCTCCCTCTGCCAAAATATGTCCCAATGTCTTTGGTATTTTTGATATGTTTGATTCGTCCCCTACCCGGAGCATCCCCCTAGATCTTTGGTCTTTTGGTATGCCGTCCCACCAAGAATAAAAAAAAATGCATGGCACGAAACACTGTAAAACACACATGCTCACAGGGCTGGTTTCTGATGTTGTTTGTCTTTTAACACAGTTTAATATGCATATAGTGTATATTATGCAACTGTGTATATAGATAAATATACATATATATATATATATATTAGTCCTAACTCATAAGCATTTTTCATCTGAATGGGGGTTATTATTGACTTTGGTTTTTGAGTTTGTGTTTCCTGGATGGATTGCTAACTATATAATTGGTTTGTTGGTGAGTCTCCAGGGGCCTATCGCTGGCTCAAAGTTCAAAAGCTTCGTTCGATATCATCTGATGAAGTGATTGATTGGGGTTGCCCATCCCTCTTGTCAAATCATCCTCATGGATTGTGAAGGCATCACTCTCCACTGAATCAGCTTCAACATTGTTTTCTATTAGCCTCTTGCACGTGTCATAACTTGAGAACTCATATTTTTATGTCCAAAATCGTTCATCAGCATTGATCATTGTTCTGTTGGTGGTGTTCAGTATGTAGCATGCATCCCCTTAGCCCTACTAATTATCTTGCTCATCTTCTCTCTTGTTGAATGGCATGTGTCCTTCCCTGACTTTGTTCTTGATAATGGATTGCTTCCCTTAATGCATTTCAATCATAGCTTTTCTGGGCGGAGTGAATGCCTTCTCCATCGTTGTGATATTCATTATTCAGCGCACCATAGTCCGGATTCCAAGCTAGGCACGTCAGCTCAGCAGTGTGGCTGAAAAACATAAACTATACCAGATAGACACAGGCTTAATACGGTTTAATTACTCTACCGACTTGGTTTAGGGTTTCGGGTGAGAACTAAGAGGTCCTAGGACCTCCTGAGGACCTCCCAGGTCGCCAAGAAGGTCCTAGGACCATCCCTCAACATGTTCTGTGCAGTTCGGGTTCTTGGTTCTGGGTTCCGTCCTAGGATCTCCCAGGTCCGTGCATGTGTGTATGTATATATATATACTATGATATACCACACACTCCATATGTGGCATAGCATATTCAACCTGGGGGTCGTCGTCAAAAGTTAATGTAGGATGCTAGATGTGGAGTGTTACTAGTAGCTTTTTGTTACTAGTAGTCATGCCCTTGTTGCAGTACTAGTAGCGATGCACTTTGTTAGTATATAGTAGCTCGAAACATCCTGTTGTCTTTGCTCCCTGCACCCATCGACTCAACCAGCAAATTTAATTCGACTCATCCAGCACCTTCGATTCACATCCAGCTTGTTAAGGCTGGAAGGCTTCACGAGGACCAAACAAACAGGTGTGCGGAGAAAGAAAACACATTCGGGAAGATCATGCTTGCATCCGTGTCGGTGTCAGGATCATTCGCCATTTTCAGAGGACCACTCTTGGTGCAACGCAACTTGCAAAGTCGAACGGCCTCACGCAACACAAAAAATGAATCTGTAACATGGGCGAGGTCCAATAATCCAACATGTGTTGATCAAACGAGAACTCTCCAAAATGATCAATGCTCATGTTGGATTATCAAAAACATGAAACTCTCCGAATGCTTGATTCTCCAAAAGGAGTATTGCCAGGTGTTTCGATGCGGTCGTCTCCGCCGCAGTTGGTCCGAAAACTGTCGTCTTCACCGCCTCCACTTTCTTCCTCCTGGGTGGATGGCCGAGACCAAGCCATGGACCAGTTGGTGTCCAAGCATCTCCAAACGGTGTATATCCATGATGATCCATGTAAATCATATCGAATTAAGGGTGTTGTCCTCTCCCACTGGTGCTCCCAGTACGACCTGGCAATATAGAAGCAAACAAAAGGGATTAAAAAAGGACCCACAGACTGTTTCTTTCTCTTGACTCTTCGGCGTTCTCAAACACGTGCTGGACGAACGAGTCTTCCTCACTATCTGAAGAATATACAAGTATATCAAGGGCTGTCAAGGTGTGTTTGAAGGTATTTAGCGTATATATTTTAGCGTATTTCAAACCTATAGGGCGCATTCTATCAGAAGTAGCAAGGTTCCTACAGTCGACGGAAGAAATCCTGCACCATCCCAAAGCCCTTGGCAGGATGGGATGGTGAAATGATCCTTACCCGGCACTTGCTGTTGCCCCGACTGGGCCTCCGGACTTCCGTTCCGACGCTTTCGGTTGCTCCATGGCCGGGGCCGCCTGGAAGGCTGACAAAGGGCAAAGTGGGGCACTGAGAGTCGAAGTGAGACTTGATCACCCAGACCATCCATAAAGTGTATTGAATAGTTACATGCCTTTACCCCATTTATGACCCTAATGTCTGTAACAGTATGTAACTATTCCATAATACATGGATGGTCTGGGACAGGGAATCTGTGCCGGTTCTCTCACAAAGGATCTTGTGTATATATGTAGAGAGAGGGAGAGGAAAAAAGGACACTACATCACGCAAAGCCACCTATGTGTGCCACCTCTCGATCAAAGATATGCTCTGACTTCACCTCTTGGGTTGTCTGGTTGGGCTCCATCTTCAGAACAGGTCGGACCAAGAGATAGGACACTTATCAAAGTACACTATGGAATATGGAACTCCTACACTCTGGTATAAGTCTGATCGATGTTACAGCGATCTGCCACATGTGCGGAGAAGGTAGCAGGTATAGGTAGCCCGGATTCTTGTAAAAAAGGAATAATTAACACAATACACGACAGGTAGCAATTGGAAGCTGGCTAGGAGCAATACTTATATCTAGCTGGGAGGCAGTATTTGGACACAAAGGGCTCAATGAAATGATAGGTGATGGTGGTTTGTTGCTGGAATAGAGAGCTGCTGCACCTGCAAATTGAAAGAAGTGCCAAAACAACAATTTGCAAGGTCAATTGAAACAATGTTCACAGCACAATAGTGAACCCAGTGACCAAAGATATGTTTGACTGTGCTTCTCCCCTTGCCATTGCAGTCTTCTATCACGTCACATAACATGGCCACTAATATATAATGCATGCCAATCCTCGCACCAGTTGAGCAGCCATCCAGCTCCCCACCAGCCACTCTGATGCTACTTGACAAGATATCACCTATGACCTATGTGATCCTATGTGCGTTTCCGCGGACATGTCACAAAAACCTGACGCTGCCATACGACAGTACGCTGCCAAAAGACCAAGCTTTTGCTTGGAAGAACCCCGATGCTCAAAAATCCATTGCCTCAGAACTGAGGCCACAGACCGGCTGGGCTCCCTCAACGGACCTCGGGCGGCGGGGACACTCCCGATCCACCCGATCCACGCGCACTTAGAGACGCCGGCGACGGATCGGCGTCGGTTCCGCGGCCGATCCAAACGACTTGCCCTTGGATTGCTTTGTAATAAAATTCCTACAGTAACCGAAACAACCAGTCATGCAAGCTAATTGTGTGATTTTGCGTCATCAAATATTCAACCGTGGTCAAATAAGTTGGTCAACTCAAAAAAACAAAACTTTGATGCTGTGATTTTCTGAAAACGCCTTGGGACCTTGGGGATTCCTGCTTTGGCAACTCGAACGTGAAGGCACTGGCAGGGCTGCGCGACGTGAATCTTGATGTGCAGATTCTGTAGTGGGCGCAGCAGTTTGTGAACCCTAAAGTGCAGAATTCTTGGCAGGCACAGCACGTTGTGAACCTCCTGTGAGGTTTGATGAGGACAGGAGTTGAATGGCATAGCCTGAAATCAACTGAGCTGCGTATGGAGGACGCGGGGGTTCACGGAGAGTACTTCAAAGGATGGATAGAATCATATAAATATATATGTAGAGAGACTCGAGAGAGACAGAGAGAGAGACATGTTCGATGAACTTCAGGACGAACGACTCATTAATGCCAACGTCGGCAACACGGTACTGGTAGGCTTTCCTTTCTGTGGGTGAAACTACCTCAGATCGGGCCTGGAGTACAAATCCATCCATCATAAACTTATGAAGTTTGATGGGGCATTCACTCTTTGGTCATGAGATGGCAGCAACTGACGTCTTTTCAGGCGATCCACTCGATCCAAACAGAATGAGCCTCTGCTCGGCCGAAGAGCGAACGTGTGGCCATGCAGCCTGCCACTCTGGGCGGTGCGGAAAAAAACACCGCCAGATCCACCAGGCTACCCCGCTGGTCACCACGAAAGGGATACACTCGTAGGATTGCACCTTTGAGCCTGGAGATGCAAACTGGCGAAAGGGATCGGGTTTTCGTTTGTGTCCACTTTACTGTACAGCAAGTACCAAATAAAAACTAAAACAAAAGTGTTTTCTTTTTTTAAACACATCATTGATCAGGCAATGATGTGTTTCAGTGAAAAGTTATGAACAAATATATATATATATATAACTATATACAAGAAATCAACCTTGAAGATCACAATGATTCACAACGTGTAAACTGCATTGGGGGGGTACGAGGTTGTATTCCGAATGATGTCCGTCCTCGTGTTTTGCAAGCCCGCAAATGCTTCAGCTCCAGTTTCCACGATTGAAAGCAATACCAAAAGCTAGGCGTCATGACGAGCCCGTGAAGAAATGAACCAGAAAAGGTAGAGAAAACATGCCAAAGCACAAGGATGTTAAGTGTAAGTATGGGTGTTAAGTGTATGATCGAGGAAGGATTTGTAACTGTATCGGTGTGTTCGGAATCTGGGCATACATTTATTAATAGTAGGTCAATGTATAGATCAACCATGCCAATCGGTGAACCACCCCTGTAAGTAGAGCATGTTCAACTCCAATCCTATGTCACTGCTGAGGGCTCACAGGGCGGCTATGAACGGTAGTAAGCCAACCCATGACGACCCGAGGTCGCTTCGGAAGTAGGTCTCCACCTTTTCGTCGCCCGATGTCGCCGGAGGTCTGGTGCCACATGTTGCCACATCAGTAGGGACCGACCCAGAGAAACCGTCGACTGTCCAACTCTCGGTGGTCGTCGAGTCGAAGCGTCGCAAAAGGGTTGATTGATAATCCACATCACCCATCACCCATCATCACGCGAGCTGAATGACCCACTTCACGTGCCCAGTTGCTTGAAAAGTCCACGATGCCCCAGATTCACCAAGCCGCGCTGCTGCCTGTGGGATGCCATGGCGATATATGGCGATGCCCAAAAACATCTGGTTGGTAGAGACCACCGTCATGCAAGAACATTCCAGGTTTACTCTTTGATGTCCTAGGTGCCCTAGGAGTCGCTGCGTCTACTTTTTGTAGCCTCTCATGACGTCCGCACATCTTCGCCACTGTTCTCAACCAGCACAGGGGGATAAACCAGCAAAGCACGGGGGAAACATGGGGAAAGCATTTAACCGAAACCGGGCTGAGACAAGAAGCAATGCGGCAAAACACTTGATGTTGGTGGGGTCATGGGGTCTTCCTCTTCTTTTCTATCCACCCAAATCAGACCGCTCACACGTTCTGTACACGATCTCCACCCCCAGCCTGACGCTGCCCAGGCGTGCCAGGAAAAGCTGGGAGGTCTCTGAGAAGTTCAAGGTCTGAGGCTCAACATTCTTCTCCTGAAGCATCCTCAGAAGCCAAATCCATGGTGGTCATCTACCTTCACTACTGGGAGCCACCGGGAGGTCGAGTTCGGACTGCGCCGCTGCCAACTGGCCCACCCAGGTCATGACCCCACACCTGTAAAAGGGATCACAGAAGTTCAGGAATGACCTAGGAATCAGGGAGATCCTTTCACAGAAGTCAAAGAGATCACCGGATTCCCACAAGAATGACCACACCTGAAGTCAAGGGATCTTTGAGAGACCAGAGTTCCTCTGGACGTCGACGTCGCAGAGGTGTTTCAGGGGCAGAAGGCCGGTCCGTCTTCAACGCTCTGGAGGACTGGGGCAAGACGGTCACTCTCTACTGAGTCTACTGCATATATATATATATTATATGTATATTGAGGTATCGAATCAGTGAGACCTCCGAGCTCGACCCCCTGGTTTCGAAGAGAAATAGACCAGTCTACCCATTTGGGCCAGAGGGGATCTCCCTCTTAAAATACCCCCACACATTATGTACATATTTGCATATTTGCTCCAATGCCACGTTTTTCAACCAATGCCACTGTGAGAGCGAAGCGGCCACCCCGTTTTTCATGTCGGCGGGTCGTTGAGTTCGTTCTGATTTCACCTCACGAGTCACTTGGCTCCATGGTGCTCCTGGAGCAGGTCTTGAATGGTCATGAAGGGTCTCGAGTCACCCGGCATGGTTGGAAAGTCCCTCTCAAGGCCAAGACTCTCCCAAATCTCCTCACGATTTTCCTCAGAGGCGCCCTTGATGGTGACGCACCTTTGCAAGTGTGAAGACCCTGGACTGTTCAGGGGCAACTACCGCAGCTTCAAAGCCTCTCATCAGGCACTAAATGTTTGCCATCCTGTGCGGTTCCAGTCTACTCATGTTTGAAGACTTGTAAAGAAACCAGAATCCTGAACACCAAACACCAAGCAGCAAGATTATGAGCATCCCGGATGGTACACTAGTCACTAGCTGCTTTTCTTGCATTATGAGCATCCCGAATGGTACCATAGCTGGTTTTTCTTGCACTATGAGCATCCCCGATGGTTCCATAGCTGCTTGTTGTTGTTGCTTGATGTTGCTTGCGTCAACCGTTTGGCAACTGGTTCTAATGAATTGTTCATGTTCACAACTGGCGACCCTTTCCAGTTTCTGCCGACCTTCTCTCGTCCACCGAGCGGCTGCCGCCAAAAGGGACATTGAAAGGCTTGGTGCCCACCCGCCGCGCCGTCACAAAGAAAGCACGGCCTCGAATCCGGTTGCCCATCGAAACCTGGATGAGAGGTGTCTTATCCCTGAACAAATCACATTGCACTTGAGGACTTCTGATGTGGTTCTACCCACCGAAAGTTCTCTTCTGCCTTGCACAACCCCCTGATAAACAGTCTTCATTTCTCACACTTTGTAGAGTCCACAGCTTGTGATTGGCATGGCTTCAAGAGGATCTATCCACCAATGGAAAAATCAATGGATCATTACTGGACCTATCCAATGGATTTGAATTGGCCATTACTGGTACCTATTATTAAATATCTGCTGCTCCTGGACCTTACGAATCGATTTGCAGTGTGGCTTTCAGCATGAATCCACCGGGGAGTTGCCGTGTGTGGGTTTCTCAAAATGGTGACGTTCAGCGGTCATCGTTGCAATGCTTATGGCCATGGCTGTGAACACGTTCCAAGGCATCAATATGGTTCAGGTCTATGTGTTCATGTTTGCCATTTGGGAGAAGTAGCTTCTCAGACCTCTTCAGACCTTCGTAAATACATGCAGGCGCTGACACATGACTTACCATGGTCGACATCACATCGGATCCGAAAGGATCATCCCTGTCGCGATCAAAGAACAAACATGATTCCAAACATGTCAGTAATGTACAGTAGAGGGCGGGGAAAAGGGGTCTGGTCCACCTATTTAGGGATATTCAACATATCTCCAAACCCTAAGGTTCCCAAATTCCGAAGGTTTTTCTGGGGTAGGTGGGGGAGTCTAACCACCGTCTAGAGATGGGCCTGAAGCCGGAAACCCATGGACCCTTCCTAACTCCATGGGTTCATGGGTCTTTCTTCGGCTCAGGTCCCGCCTTGCGGGTTCACGCCTCGACGAGAGTTCGGGCTCCACCTGGGCGAGGGCGCGCGGACGGGCGAGGTGGGAGGTCCAAGTGGTGGACCTGGATTCGACCCACTCAGGATCAGTCTGACAGAAGAGTTTACGTTTGAGGTGTAGACAACTACACATGAACCATATTAATCACTAAATGTGAAGTTCCTGCATGTTCCTGCACACGCACTTGCTTGAAGAAACAGCCAGAACATGTTCGAAAGCGCTTTAAAATGCTTGGCTCTCCAGCATTAAAAGATCTAGTAGGATGTCGCATTCACATGGTTTCGAGTCCGCAACATCACAAAAAGTATTCATCGACATATCGTATGTCAGAAACGGATGTGTGGGCGTCTGCTGAGAGCCTGTTGCATAGAGTTGCACCTGTTCTGATGTGCCACATCCAATCTGCATCTGAATGCGGGCCTTCCCATACCTAGTGTATCCTACTGTAGTACTTTCGTTGTTCTTTACCGAATGCGTAGCGAAGGGTTCTCGTTTAACTTGGGGGTCTGAGGGTAGAGCTGTGCTTGCTCGACGTTGTTTTCAAGTTCGCAACCGTCCGCAACCGTCCGTATGATGTCTCTATGGCCCTGCCATTGGGGGAAGCTTTTGCAAGTGACTTTTCATGGATGTGTCACGTGTCAGTTTGCGCCGCTATTACATTGTGATTTGCATGAAAATGACATGTCGCGCAAGAAACGTGATGCATTTCGCTGCGCAGGCGCAGGGTTTCGTGAAAGTGACATGTTTGTGTCAGTATTCCATTGGGATTAGCGTTCGGAGAGTAGTGTTTTTGGGGTGTTGGATGTGGTCGGGTTTGCGTTTCAGGGTGTGGCATCGAAGCGCTGTTTTCGTGACAAGTCTCAGCTGAAATGGTGATTTTGGTGGATGGGAGTGTGCTCAGAGCGGGCCGAAATCATTCCAAACGTGTGGTGTGGTGCAAATTTTGTTGAAGCTCACATGAGATGACATTGTCACTTTTCGCGGCAGGCGCAGTACTTTGTGCGGGCTTTGATGTGTGGAAGTGCGATTTTCGTGGCAGGCGCAGGGAATCGTGAGGTTGCGATGTGCGACGGAGGTGACATTTCGTGGCAGGCGCAGTAAACGTTGTGCGCGTTAGACGTGTGGACGCGGAAAGATTCGTGGCAGGCGCAGGGAATCGTGAGGTTGTGAGTTGTGGTAGAGGTGAATGTCGCTGTGACATTGGGATTGGCGTGTGAGCGGGTGTTGTTTGGAGGGGCTGGAATCGCGAAACTGCTTGGCAAGGCTGCGCGATGGGTGTGCTCCGATGGGTGTTTCCGCTTGACTTTGGGAGGAAGTCTCGTACGAAACGCTCGTTTTGCAGACTTTGACATGTGAGTTTTTGAGGAAGTCTCGAACGAAACGCTTGTTTTGGAGCCATGACGTGTGACTTTTGGAGGAAGTCTCGTACGAAACGCTCGTTTTGGAGACTTGACGTGCGACTTTTGGAGGAAGTCTCGTACGAAACGCTCGTTTTGGAGACTTGAGTGTCTAGCAGAGTGTCCTGGAAGAGTGTCCAGCAAGAGTGCCTAGCAAAGACTGCCCAGCAAGAGTGTCAAGCAAGAGTGTCTAGCAAAGAGTGTCAAGAAAGAGCGTCTAGCAAGAGTGTCTAGCAAAATGTCTAGCAAAGAGTGTCAAGAAAGAGTGTCTAGCAAGAGTGTCCTGTCAAGAGTGTCCAGCAAGAGTGTCCAGCAAGAGTGTCTAGCAAAGAGTGTCCAGCAAGAGTGCCAAGCAAGAGTGTCAAGCAAGAGTGTCTAGCAAAGAGTGTCCAGCAAAGAGTGTCAAGAAAGATTGTCTAGCAAATAGTGTCAAGAGAGAGTGTCAAGCAAGAGTGTCCAGCAAGAGTGTCTA